AAAAGAGGAAATAATGATTATGGATACAACTAGTGAGAAAAATGTTATTATACATTAGAGGGGGATGAATCGTGACAGGATGAAGATGTATTGGTGCGAAAAGAGGTAAAAAAATATATTTTATTAAATATTTTCAATTTATTTAGGAATTAAAATGACTGAAGCGGTTGTTCAATCCTTTCAATTTACTTAAAAATTTTTAAAGCAAATTTTTCTTCTCACAAATTTACAAACTTTTAGCACTTTTTCTTACAAATTTGCAGACAATGAATTCATTTATGAAATTTCCGCGGTCGGCAATGAGAGAGGTTTGTTCGGCATCAAACCGGACGGACAAATTTTTCTATTATCATCATTGGATCGCGAGCAAGAAGCATTTCATCATTTGGCTATCACTGTATACGATAGAAAAAATCGGGAATACGGTACGAAGTTTTCACTGAGTGCAGTTTAGCAAAATTAAACAAACCCTTATGACAAATGGGAGGAAAGCCTTTATTATGATGTGAGGCCCTGAAAAATTGGAAAATTTCTGACTGTTTTCAAACGGTGCAAAATTTTATCAAAAACGATGTTTTTAAAGTTGATTCTTACTGTGCGACCCACGAAAAGTGGCGCACAACTACTGAACAGGCAGTGAGCATTAACTGGAGGTATGCAACTTGTGATCGAAGGCAACTGGTATAGCTGCGCAGGTGTATGAAGCAACCCAGTAGCACCACTAACATGATGTACCCACTCTGACAGCGGGGACGATCTTATTCCTAGCTATGCATAAGTATATATGTGTATGTATTATGTGATCATTTTGGTTATCAGATTGTATTCGATTATGTATTTGATAATCTACAGTTTTAAACTTATCGATAGGCTGCAACGTTTACTCGCCTCTTCCAGCTGGCACAACTAGATTAAATCGAAAAATTAGTTGATATGCAAGCGTTTTAAAAGTTTTCAAAACTTCTTTTTGAATTTTTTAGCTCTCAAAGCAACAACATCCGTGAAAATAATAGTACTGGATGTGAATGATAACGCTCCTCAGTTCACTTCACCTACAAAATATTTTGTGCACGAAGGAATGCCTCTGGGTACCATAATTGGCTCT